TAGAAAAGATCTGCAGTAATTACAGTGCACTCATATTCCCCTTTTAACTTTTCTTGCTTCTATTTTCTCGTAACTAAAACGCGTAAATCAGGGGGCAAAAAGCTTAATGCTACAGTGATCTTTCTGCTAAATGTAAGATTGCCCTTTACGACTGAGTTGCAAAGAAAACAATTCCAAATCTCAATTTACAGAGTTTCTTGGGAACTAAAACGTATATGGTGTAAGTCTGGCTCTAAAGCAGAGTCCAGGTGAGGTGCAAGACTGCTACTCCAGTTCCTCAGAACCAAAAATAAAAGCTGCCCCTACCTCTGCCCCAGGGGAGCCTGCAGACGGCTTATTCAGTAACTGACAGTAACTTGTACCATTACTGTGGCTTAAGATGAAATCATAGTTTTTCTTTTACGAAAATTCTACCTAGTTAACATTTCTCATAAAAATAATTATCACTGCTTCAAGAGGCTGCTGTTCAGTGTGACTAGGCGTTGAAAGGAAATAGAAGGAAATGTAAGGTATCAAATATTGCTACAGGTTGGGACAACATACGATGCTACACACCTTAGAACAAGTGCAGATACAACTCTTAAGGGGTCAGAGATATTTACAGAGTCAAATGAGGTCAGAGACACTGTTTTTAAGAGTTTTTATTTCATCCTACAACAATCCTGTTGTACAACATGGCTCAGGGGGTGTTCTTAGTCTCCTTACAAAGCCCAGGTCTCAATCAAATAGGTGCATTTTTATCACATTCCTGTAACTGCTCCCCAGTCATTTATTCATGCAATCGATTCCCATGTCGCTCAAATCATTTGTGTAGGAAAAACCACATCCTCCTCTGTCAAACCAAACCAGACAGACAGACTAGCTGGAGTTGCAAATAAAAGGTCACCAGTGCCTCAGACACAACTGGTACCAGGAGAAATAAGGAGGCAAAATGCAGCAGAAGCCACCCGCAAAGCGCTGTGAGCCCAGCCCCTTGTCGTGAGGCTGCAGCCGCCTTCTCCGCCACGGAGCCACTGGTACCAAGGAGCGACTGTTAACCTCCGCAGCTCGATTCAATGTGACAGTGACACTTCACAGCACATTGCATCCAATCTCATTTGAAGCTGACAAAGATTGTTTCTGTTTTATATCTATTGGTTTATTAATGGCCTACAGCCTCTTAAGCAGATGCATATTCATTAGATAGCCAGCTGTTAGGAGGTTCCCAGATGTCGAAAGTAGCTCTGTCTCAGAATGCATATTTTTTTTTTTTTTCCCCCTTATCATGAAACAAAGTAATTGTAGCTCTATTAAAGAACCAGTTAATTAGTGAACCAGTACCTTATGGCATGATTTTAAAAAAAAAAAAAAAACAAAACAAAAAACCCTGCGAATTTGTGAGGAGTAAAGACTTTTTTTTTTTTAAAAAGAGAGCTGAGCCTTCGCTGTGCTGTATGCATGCAGAACTTCTGTTGATGTAGAGACCTGGATTACTCCATGTAAAGAATGCCCAAGCTGCCGACATCCAGGAAGTTCTGCAAAGGCACCTTTCTTCTTTTTCCACATTCTGCAGAATTTCTCTTACCTCTTATCTTTCCTTACCTGAATAGTGGATGCAGAAGCACATAAAAAATGAAAATGAGACACATCTCCATTTTTAAAGGTCATTTTACATGGAGAAGCAAACTTCCACAGCATCCCAGCTAGATAAAACTGTAACCAGATCATTGAACAAGCTGTACAGATTGACTTACAAATTCCACAGGCCATCCTTTTCAGTCTCACAACATTAACCAGGCTCACCTAGTTGTCTTTGCAACTTACTATTTTTTTCCTTTCTTCTTTCTTTCCTCAAAGCGCTAAAAGCAGCTCCCAAAAGGCAGGTCTTAGCAGCATGACTAGAACAATAACCATCCTCCTACCACCACCCCCAGGAAGCTCTTCTCCCACTGAAATGTTTAAAACATTAAAGTCAGCTCCAAATCCAAGTGGTTTGAGGAAAAAGGTTCACGCTGAGTCTTTGTTTCTGACTGATGGGAACATAGCGCATGGCCCTTCGCTCCATCTCATCCTACCCCACCAGCCTCGGAGGAGCAGGCCATACAGTGCTTTCTCCCCAAGAAGGAGCTGCGTTTCAGTTACCAATATAGGAAGAAGAGGGCAACTACTGATCCTGTGCTGCAAGCAGAACTCCTAGGTGGAATAATTGGAAGCATACAGGTATTCAGTATTTACTTTCCAATTCTCTCATTCATACTTTTAGTTTTTGCCAGTCAAATCTGTCAGCAAGTACCTGGAGCTGTACAATAAAGCGATTTTTCACTGTGCTGACAGTTCTGAGTACTAACCCAAAAAAGTTTCCTTTGCAGTCAAATTAAATATTTTGCTTAAAACAAAGAGTTTCAATGTGTGTGCAAACACAATGAAACGCAATGGGTTTGCCTGAAAAAAAAAAATCTGAATTTTAGTCAGTGACAGCTTGGAATAAAATTGGGGGGGGGATCACATCTCCATTAAAAGCTTTAATCAGAACCAAGTGATGGTATGATAAAATGTCATATGCTATAAAAGTGTTTACAGTCATGCACAGAGGAACGTGGAGGCAATTTTGTAGAGTGACTCCTAGAGCAAAGGCCTCTGAGAATAAAACTGTCTTTAGATATTTGTTATCCTGTTATAGTTGATATCACCTTGAGTATACAATGCCTGCCTGCATTATGTAAACACTTCATTGATAAATCCCTCCCCCACCTCCCTCAAGCTGTGTCAGACTGTTCTTAGCTGACAGATATAGCTGAAACAGATGCTGCTATAAATACCCTTGTTTAGCTGTTTTGAATATAATTTCTTTTGTAGAACACGGTGGATGCTCTAGTTATCACTGAACTTGCACCTGTGCTGGAATTTATTACTCCTTTGTACACATCAAGATGCATTCTTTGAATGATTCCATAAATACACACCCAGGGATGGATTCTGATGCCCCTTTCTCCTTTACAAAGGTTTTCATTAATTTAAGTGAACTCTTAATAAGTTCAGAAGCTACAGAATCCAGAGCTAGTAGAAGTGTACCCCTTACGACCAAACAGTTAATTCCCTCTATTTACTCCCTGTAAGCTCCAAACTCCTATGACAGTTGCTGCTTTTCAGCATGGTGCAAAAAGATTGCTCAGCTATGCTGGCAGTGGTCACAAGGCTTACAGTCTGGGTTTTTAAACCTTGTGCACTTTGGACACTACCACAATAATATAAACACACTTTTCTTTTTTTTTTTTTTTTTTTAAGGGATGCAGAGTACAACTTGTGAAGAGTCTGTGAAGAGCAAGGAAGTCAGATTTTTGCCAAGGGGCAGTGGGGGAAAGCCAAATACACGCCAGCATGCCAGTACACCGTGTAGTCAAGTGCTATGTAGCACGCAGCCAGCCAAACCCAGGCTTCTGGGCAGTTCGCAGTTACAGCTGGATGTGGCTTTAAACATGAAGAAAGGAGTTCTACTAACATAGTAGCATGATTTAGGTTATATTAGGCTGCAGCTGATAAATGGTAGATCTGTCATCATTCATGCACTGCCTCATTTGTATTTTCACCTGGAAAGATAATTTTGATTTCTAATGCATTATTTTGCTCTTACCTGAAATATCAGAGATGGAAACATTGTATGATAATCATCTTGAAGTTCAATAGTGTTTTAAGCAAACACAACCCATTTTACATTCAGTCTTTACCTAAAGATGTAAACCGTATTCTGCTAAGCACCGTGACATGTGGTCCATGTCTTTTAACTCAAGGGAAGAATGGGACAAAACTTCCATGCAACAGGCTCTCATCACTGCAGGCTGAAGATGCATGGGGATGCACCTGGACCACCTTCTGAAGGAATCTTTCTGGGTTTTCTTATCTGATGTTTATTTTGGTTCAGAGGACTTCCTTCTCACCCACCTGCAGACAATCTGGCTGGCTGAAAAAACCCTTCTTTTCATGCTCCATACAACCTTCCTCATAATTAGGAAACTGATCCATAAGATGAACAATGTATGGTAGCAGCAGTGAATCAGTTCAGTACTAGAACTGCTCCATAAGCTGAGGTACCCTTGACTAAGGTATAATGGACACAACCACAAAGATCCACTCTAAACTGACCAAATGTTTTCCACTGGAGTTACTCTACCCCTGACAAATGTCCTTCATTATAATTAATCTCTTGATTAGAAGCTAAATCACTGGTTCCTCTGAAGAGATGCGAGCAACCTGAACAAGGACATGATCTTTCAACTCAAAGCAAACTATTTAACCACCTAAACTTACCTTAAGAGAAGAGCATTACGAATAGACTCACCCACCCATCAGAAAACCTTCTAAAGACTACTGAGCAGCACTGCACCCCTTCAGCACAACTAAGGTAGCAGCATTGGCTAGAGGTTTAGTTTTCCTTGCCACCCATCCACCCCCCAGGAACTAGCTTTCTTCCCAGCACAATTTTCCATATATTGAACCAGTTTGAATCTTCCCATCTGTTAGGACTAGAGGTTTTGAAGATGATTATTCCAAATAAGTTTAAAGGCTTCAGGAACAGGAACCAGAGCGATCTCTCCTACTCAGCCGTTAAAGCCTGCTTTGATTACTTTGATGTAACAACACTTGAAAGCTCCTATTCTTTGAAACTAATTTAAACACATTGAATTGTTGAAAGATTAAAAACCGCAGTCAGCTAATTACACTCACTCTCATCTCTTATTCAGCAAATGAATCACTTTTCATTACCACTTAGCTGAAGTACATGAATTTCTGCCTAATTAGAAATGTTGTAGATGGAGCATTAGCAAGGCTGGAGCGGGTCAGGATATCTTGCCTGCTTCATTTTTAATTCCTAACAGTAGAGCCAGATAGGAAAGGCTTCAGATAAGAAGTCATTAAACAATTTTAAATTATTTATAAAAATTACTTTGCCCAAATTATAATTATTTTTTTTCCCAAATGCTCTCATAAACGTCAAATGGAATGAAAGGAAAAGCAACCCAACATTGATTTTAATGAACATTTTAATGTTATGTAGTACAGAACATTATGAATACAATCAAAGCAAAGTTTTATCAACTTAATAATAAAAAAGAGATACAACATAAGAAAATTTCATACCTATAGTATAGTGCTTATTCTTAACAATATTCCCAGCTTGTGAATATAACAATGTATTCCACATTCTAGAGTCATGATTCATGTGAACTTAAACGTAGAATTACAGAAGAAAAAGCAAAAACCCCAAAAACCTTAATTAATTCTTTTGTTTTCAGTAAATCAGTAAAATCTTTGACTGCTACAGGTTTCCTTTATTAATATATATATTTTTTACTCCTCTATTGGATTCCACAGATGCTAATGCCATATTTACAGAAAAGAATCGCCAAAATTGCCAAATGTTGTATAAAAAGCTAAGATCCAATGCTGCTGGATTAGGTAGGGTTATAGATTTAAATAACTTACATGTAATTCATCTCATAATTTTTTGTAATGGCGCAAAAAATAAATATTTTTGCCTTTTGACTGCTGCCTATGCCATAAAGTCTCCATAGGGATATTGGTGGTACAAAGGATGCTAACTGCCACTGTAAAAAAACTGCAAGAAAGTGCATTTTCTGGAGTTTTCTGAAAGGAAACCTTCCAGCAGTCTTGGATAAAGCTTCTCCCAGACTTGCACTGGATATCAGTTATAACAACAGAAGCATGTTAAGACCCCAAAAATCTGTTGATCACCAAATTGCTGAGAGAGGATTTTTACAATAAAAATTTGGGCAATATAGCAGTGTGGCTGGAACATTAGCAAAAGTATATACACATTCCAGGTCCCTTTGAATTAGCCATAATCATATATGTAAGCCATTTTTGGACAAAAATATATATTCTTATAAAAAAATGATCATAGTACTTGAGTGATTTCAATTGTGGACTCAGTGGTAGTAAAAGGAATGATCCAACTATGACAAAACGATCAGGGAGAGGGGGAAAAGAAAGTCAAGCTCTTCAAGAAAAAAGAAAAGTATAAAATTAGATTCAAACATTTTTACCCAACCCCCATTCCAGTCTTCCATCAAGCCTCAAAGTTAAAATTGGTTCTTCTATGTAGGAAAGGTTTTTTGATGGTCTCAGTACAAATTATTTTGCAAATAATCTAGCATATCTTAGAAGAACTTTTCACCTCTCCAGAATTTGAACATCAGTTATTTCAACATTTAAAAATAGTTTTTGGTTCTTCATGTAGACACTAACTGATAAAGACAAAAAAAAGTACTGATCAGTTTTTTTCCATCCCTCCCCCAGCTATATTTGTGCAGCTAAAAATCCTTCATTCAGTCTGCCCATTTATTTTATTTCATTTTATTTATTTATTTTACAATCTTTATTTGCTAAAATTGGCAAAATTTGCAAAGGCATCTTGCTTGGGTTGTACAGTCCCAGGAGTCAGAGAGGTCATAGCGATATTGGGTACCCCCATTCCTATTGTGCCCGTCAAACTCATTCCCGTAGCTGGCACTCCCATGTTCATGTTTATTCCCATCATTCCCTGGTTCATCATAGGTGTGGGTCCCATGGAGGTCATGCCCATTGTACCTGACATCACACTGGGCATTCCCATCCCCACAGGAATGGGCCCTCCCACCAATGGGCTTGTCTGGGGTCGAACAGGCATCATGTTAGGCTGGGGACTGAGGTTCACGGCTGCAAAGTTTTGAGTCATGACGTTCATGGGTTGTTGCATATCTGCAAAGAGAACAGAATGCAAAAATCATTAATCAGAATCAGATGCTGAAGCTGCTTATATGTTTTAAGAAACTTAAGTGGTAAGTGCTGCGAACAAAGATATGAGGGCCAAAAACATAGCTATTTCACTTGTTTTTCCATTTTCTATGTGAAGTCTCAAAACTTTTATAAGTTTTAAATAGCATTTTATACCACTATATGCTACTATACATATTTCAGAGAAGTTCTAGAGATCAGGAAGCCTGAAATAAAGAAACAGCAATGGTGCAACCTCTACAGTAAAAACACACATAGATACCAGCCTCCTACCACTTGTGTCAGAAGCATCGCAGTAGTTAAGAAACAATTACGATAATTAAGTGACAGAATACTCCATCTCAAGGACAACCTACTAAACACATACAGAGCTCAGTGCACATGCAAAACAGTGCAATAATCACTTACTTTGTTGCTGCATCATGGTATTAAGTGATGGCTGTTGGGGTTTGGAAGGCTGCATCCCAGGTACTAAATTGTCCAAACTGATATTTACACTGGGATCTGACCAAGTTGAGGGTAGAGTTTTGCTTGCATTCTTCTGGACCATCTCTGTGCTTGCATTAAAAAGAGGGTTAGGCTTCGGCATCATAGTGTTCAAGCTTTGCAGAGGCTAAAAAAGAAAAGTTTGTTGGGATCCACTTTAAACAATTTACCAACAGGTGTCAGGCCTAAACAACAAGTGTTAATTTTTCTACAGAATACAATAAAAAGCCAATGAGATTTTTAGCCATGAACATCAGCTCTTCCAAAGCAGTGTTGCCATGTGCTGTTACACCATTAGAATGGGTTGAAAGAATATTTTGTAAGCTAGCCTCAAGCTCCCATATCAACATGTGGAATAACAGTGATGATCTGCAGTCAAGTTTTGAACTCAAACATACTGATTTTTTTCTTCCTAACACCAAGTTGACCTGTTAAGGTTTCCAAAACCACTCTCCACTGAAGCAGGCACTTCTGTGTTTTGGAGAACAGACCAGACCTGACATCCATCTGCTTGAGGCTGGAAACCTGTAACATTCTGTGGAGGATGGCCTTAAGGTTTAAAATATCATCAACCTTGTCTTCCCCAACAAAGCAGCAATGCTTCACAGAACAATGAAGATCATCTCAGAGAAGACTAGCTCATAAAAGGCTTTTCAAGAAAATTTGACACCTTTTCTTTTTAGGAGGCTATGCAAACATTTTTGGACAAAACTTTCTTACAAAATGCTGAACATAACATGTGAGTGACTAGGTAGGGACTCAAGGATTGGAATGGATTAATTTTCAAAGCTGTGATTAAGGAGAAAGCAAAAGAATAATTGAGGAAGGTCATTAGCAAACTGTACAAACAGCAGCATACCTGTGACCTTGACATGGGTAAACCGATACCCACAGCACTGGAGCTCATCATAGAGAAATTCATACTTTGTGAAGAGGTCATGGTTGTCTGAGAGGGGCCCATCAAATCAAAAAGATCAGTAGAATTTGAAGCTGGTGGAGGCTGGCCAGAAGCTGGCTGTGAGCTACTGAAGAGCTCTATAGCTGGCTGCTGTGCTGTGCTGCTGAAGAGCTCTCCAGATGAAGCACTGGGACAAGGAGAAGCTTGGTTGAAGGCACTCCAGTCACCAAAGTCTCCATTTCCACTTGTTGCTGTACCTGAAGGAAAGGCAACAATGTGGGAAGAAGGAAGACAGAGAGAAGAAAGGCAGAAGACTTAGAGAAAGGCACTGAGCAAATGCCATATTCCATGAACCAAAACAAATGAGAGCTGATCTGTGTCTGTCCAGATTAACATCTGCAGGTAGAACCTCCATCTGGACATCATTCTCTCTCATGAATATTCCAACAATTTTAACAAGGTAGCAAAGGAAACATGAAACACCCATACACAGAAAGAAGAAGGATGTTTGATAATGTCACCTGTGGATGCGAGACAAATAGGGACAGGTTTTCTTTAGTTGAAATATGACCGAAAGTTAACTTAGGGGTAGATTGGAGGCTAAAGTCAAAACGACACCTAGAACTTTGATAATATTTATCAACTTTTTATCTCAGTACTCTGGTTTGCTGAGAGAACAGTTGTCAGGAATGAGCCACTAGATAAAGCAAATTCCATAATGTTAAAACAATGGCAACTATTTCAAAATTCGTTTTTATACCATTAGTAGCTCTTTGTGTAAAACAATGCTGAGGGAAATAAAAAAACCAGAACTTTGAAAGCAGACTGCCAGGGAATTCTTATTTGAGGTGATAAGGAGCAATTTCTTCCCAGCCCATGAAGGGCTCATGTAAAACACATTAAGTTTTCTAAATTTGGTCCCTGAACTAAATGCCTTGGCTTAAAGCAGAAATTCGATTTTGGATCAAACAATTGTCTCAGCAGAAGCTTTGCTGAACTCTTAGTTCATCACTTAAAGTTAGTTTCATTTCAATATACCAGGGGTTTTGTAGACAAGCATTTAAATCAAAACACAGCAACTTACAGCTGCATCTCTGTACCTTAACTGTGCAGAGCCTAACAGTATAAGCTGTTTGTAGATGACTGCAAGGGTACCTATTTCAGGAGCACAGATGTCCAGAGACACAAACCAGTGAACTGAGAATATGTCATAACCTTTGAGTCAAATGGGAGGAGATGTTATCTCCCTTAAAAACACATGTTTTTCTATTAACAAGAAAAGGGTTACTTCACAGGAGTGATAGGGGAAGAAAAGCTTACAAAAACATCTACAGGAGATGCTAAAAATAAAGCAATGCCATTTAAACAGCTCTCGTTACATAGTGAAGCTTGTTCCAAGTTTGGGCCATTGTACAGGTCAGCTTTTTGATTATGTCACTGATATACTTTTGGGACTTCAGCTAAGTCACAAGAAATGTCATTGCCATATGAAACGAACTTTGAGCAACATGAGCAAATGAAGACTCAAACATGTAAAGCTGGGGTAGATGAATCTAATGCCAGTTTCCACTTCCTAATACAACAGCTAGTTCTACAACGGCCATCCATAGCAATTTTCTACAACTGTATTCTACCTGCTCAAAAGGTAACTGCAGTAGTCTTTTACACTCCGTGTAAATATTTACCAACATACACCTTCAACCTTAAGTCATCTTCATTAGAATTTAAAGCATAGTAGGAAGAGTAAATCTGCAAATCCAAGCATTGCCAACAATTTCAGTGCACAAAGTGGACAAATATTCATTAGCTTAGGGCATTACTAGAACATTTGCTTTGATCTCCCTCACAAAGAGGGACTATATTAGAATGTTTCAATTAGTATTACATATTAAAAATTAAAACCTACTTTAAATATTCCTGATAGATAAGTAAATGCTGAGTGTGCTGCTTCTATGTTCAGACCTGTGCACTGAGCACCAATAATGGAAGTGGGGGTAAAAGGGATAAGGTTTTGCCCCTTCAGTAGAACTTCAAAGATGATTAATCAAGAAGGAAAAAGATTTCTAGAGGGGCTTATGCTGTTCAGCAATGATTAATCATTTCACAGGACTCCTTGTCCCTTGCATAATGGTGATTGGAATAGATTAATCATGTTAATGCAGATAAAGGATTGTATCAATTTAAACTGTATTAACACAAAAATTATTTGCATAGTAGGCGGCTTTGTGTTTGCAAAACAACTTGGTTTTGCCTAAGAAAGCCTGTAAAAATATTAGAGCAGTTCTTTCCTGCCAAGCAAATTAAAGGTGTATTAACTAATCCACGCCCAGCACAATTTTCCTAACACAGCAAAATAAAGGAAGATATATAAACATGCTGACTAAAAGCTGGCTCGCAGGTAGGTTTGCTGATCAATGTCCTTGCTGTTCTTTTCTCATTCTGGACTTAATCCTACACCCTTGCTGAGAACCCCTAGTCACAAACACCACTACTGCCCAAATTAACTCCACAAAAGATCCTGCCAGCTCCCTCCACTCCATGGTTGTTTGCAGCACTGTCCTGTCTGGGTAGCACTGTAGGCTCCCAAACACACTCCACCAGAAGGAAGTTGATTGCTTTAGGTGGCTTCCCAGAACTCTGGATTTTTTTCAGTCCAATTTTAAGGGAAACATTTTTCAGACAGTGGCCACGTCTACATAATAGCTTGTATGTCTGCATGCAAAATGACGGCACACGCACTGAGCCAGCCGCAGGGACACGATAGCTCTAAACTGCACGCCGTGCAACCAGGCAAGAGCAAATCTGAGCACTGTCCCAACAAGCAGTACTAAAGTCTTGCTCTTGTGATTGGAAGGGACTTGTTCATGCCTGACTTAAGTAAGATCTAGATATCTTTTATTTAATAAGCTTCTCCTAAAAGGGAAAAAGACTGTAACAAATTGTTATTTAGCCAAGCTAAAATAAAGCATTGGTCAGCTTCATCCCACAGATGCATATATACAACTGCAAAAGCCATCGGCAAGGTTGTACTGTGTATGGAAGACATAACTTGACTAAATTCCCCTCTAACATACGAGGCCTTCCAATAGTAACCCAGACATCACTGGAAGCTTTGGAAATTGCCTGTCTCAAGCTCCCCTCATTATGCCATCTGACAAGGCCAAATAATTGCATGTCTCTAAATATTTAGAATTTTTTTGTTTTTTGTTTTTTAAAAAATCTGAGACGACAGGTGGGAGCTGAGGACATCTTTAGGGACTCATTTTTCTAGCACAGGTGGGCTGCTATTTTCCATTGAACATGACCCCATCTTTTGGTTTTGTTCAACTTACCCATTTAATTTACTGTTCTGCCCATATTATCAAAGTTAAGAGTGATCTGAACCCTCTGCACATGTCCAGAAACTATAAACAGCAGCATAAACCCCTTCTAACAACTTTTCAGTTGACAGTATTATCACAAGCAAGCAAACCAAACTATCAAGCACTTCATGCAAGTCTTTTCATCCCACCAGAGCAGCTAACTTTTTTTTTTACAATTAATACCTACCTGTATCTGAAAAGCTTGCAAACTGTTAGTTGAAGTATTAGAAAAATGACTGCTTTTTATTGCAAATAAAATAGTTAAATAACCTTACATAAAACACTGGGAAGACTATGATGATTAATAATCTGAATGGTCCTATCACTACAGCCAGTTTTCCAATCATTTTGGAAACAAATACTGCCATCTTGAAGCATTCATCATTGTAGAGCTCCCATTAAAATAGCTCCTTGCCCACAACTGCAGAAGTGGGATGCTATCCTGGTTTCGGCTGGGATAGTGTTAATTTTCTTCCTAGTAGCAGGCATAGTGCTGCGTTTTGGATTTAGTAGGAGAATGTTGATAACACGCTGATGTTTTTACTTGTTGCTGAGTACTGCTTATGCTAGTCAAGGACTTTTCAGCTTCCCATACTCTGCCAGGTACACAAGAAACTGGGAGGGGGCACAGCCAGAATAAAAGGGCTATTCCATACCATATGACGTCATGCTCAGTATATAAACTG